ATAATAATAATAATAATAATAATAATAATAATAATAATAATAATAATAAAATCCTACACGCCTTATAGGTAATCGCCTAATATTATAATAATATATTATGATTAAAACGTTTTTCTTTTCATTTTCTTGTTCACGTTTAACACATCATCCCTTCGACGACGATGATTCATTTATACTGCGAGCTATACTTTATCTTCCCATTTTATATTTATATTCATTTATTCATTATTTTTATTTTTCGTTAACTTTTATTTTACAGACTATGCCCATTGTAAAATGGTTCGAGGTATACGCGGAATCGCAATCTCGATCGTTTACTCGCCCTTTTTATTTTGTTTTTGCTTTAAAAATATCATTTCAGTTTCGTTTATATATAATTTTTTATTATCATTTTATTTTCTTCCATTATCGATAAAACTATTCCGACATCGATTCTCTATCGACGATATGAAGAAGAAAAAAGAGGAAGAGGAAGAGGAAGAGGAAGAGGAAGAAGAAAAGAAATATGAAAAAAAAAAAAGAAAAAAAAAAAGATAATAAAATAAAAAACAAAGATAGATACATCGTTTTCCTTTTAATCCATGAACTCGACATCAATTCTCCTAGTCGGACAATTGGTAATTGAAAATATGTATTTATTAGACATCTTTTTTGTTCTTCTCTTCCAACGAGAGAATCCGAACAACGTATCAACGCAGATCGATTTTTTCATTTACCAATCAGAGTTTTCCTTTCTTTTTTTTTTTTTTTACTTTTTATATGCCATTTGATAGAATATCGATTAATCTGTGCGTTATTTTTTATTTTCTTGTTATTCCCCCTTTTCTTTTTGAACGTATTAGACAAAATATATGGATTGTGAAATATATAAATAAAATAATCGCGCATGTTTTGACGAAGGATAAATAAATTCTTCTTCTACTTCGTTTGATTTATTTTTTTTTTATTTATTTTTCTTTCTTCCTTATTAATTAGCGAATTTTCTCATCTAACGAAATTTAAACCTTCGCACTCGTACACACGCGTACGTAATTACGTTTGCTTTGTTTTTTTTTTTACTTAACGTTTATTTCACTTCGTTTTGATTTCATTAACCAACACGTTTTGAATAATCGAGATATTAGAATAGCTGACGTTTTCTACGAAAGATTCTTGAGTTTTTGTTAGAATAGTAGCGGTACAAATAGTCGGTTAATCTAATAATAAGTTTAAAGATTGCTTAGAGCTTATAATCATTCATTATTAATATCGCGATATTGCAAACTATCACACGAAACTATAGATTTATGTTATATACATTTTATTACTGCCCATTGGACTTGTTTTATTTGCTATTAGTTATTATATGTGTATGATAATAAAGATGCTGGACTGATAAGTAAGAAAAAAAAAACAAAAAATTGGTTACAAATCTTTTCTATATAATTTATTTCATAATATAAATAATATATTATAAGATATAAAATATATTATGAAATTAATTTTTTCGGCCCTTTTCTTTTCATTTACAATTCCACTGTCCACTGTCATAATTAAACGATACACATCTAACGAAAAATAAATAATAAATTCTAAAAAACACACAAACATATATAAATATATATATATATATATATATTTAATATATAACGATGAGATAAATTCATTTTTATCGTTGTTAATATAAATCAATTAATCTCGGTTGATTTTCGTTTGGAACGGTGCTTTTAATTTTGATCGATTATTCGGAAAAAGAAAATATTGACTTAACGTAACGAAACGATTGTCAATAATGCATGCATGCATGCATGCATGCATGTATACGCGTATAGATAAATACGCAAATGCGCATGTTGACCGTCCACCCGCATATTGTAAAATAAATTTTAAGCCGATCCTGTGCGATAACGATAATAAAAAGCGTACCCGAGAGTGCGGAGGATTAAAATAGCGCTAAACAACACATGAGCAACGATCGGGTAAACGATCGATATTTATTATACTTTACATGCTTTATGCATATATATATATATAAATATTTTATTTCACGTATGTATTTTTTATACGCGTATTTAGAATATTTATGGTGTGTATATTTGTGTATTTTTGTGTGCGCGTGTATGTTAATATCGTCATCCTATCGATGTTTCGTCGACGAACGATCCGCGTACGCTCGAAACATTTGTTCAACCAATCAGAAAGCGACATTACTTTAATTCAACGATTCGCGATCGATTTATTATTTTAAATCTTCTTAAACTCGTCCTAACTTAAAATAGATCTCATCTCGATATTAATTATCATTTCTAATCATTAAGAACAAGTATATAATATCGCTAAAATCTGTCTCTCTCTACTTCGTTTACGATACATTACGAATTATTTTCCCTTGTCCAGTTATCAACCACCCCCCCCTTTTCCCTCTACCTCCGCCGATCTACCTTTGACGCCCATCAAACCCGTTCCACGATAATTACACTTTATTAAGGCTACTTAAAGCGGTTACATAGTATTCGATCAACTCCATATTCTCGACTTTTGCTTATTTATTTATATACTTGTTGTTTTTTTTTTTTTTTTCCTTTTTTTTGTTTTCTTCCTTTTTTTCATTATTTCTTTGTTTAATATTATTTATTCTCGTCTATCGTCGTACTACTATATGTATATTGGCGATGCAGCGATAATAATATAATAATAGTTTATTAATCGTAATAGTTAATATTAATTGCAATAGTTGTAGTAGTAGTAGTAATAATAGTAGCAGTAGTAGTGATGGTGGTAGTAGTAGTAATAGTAATAGTATTAGTAATAATAATAGTAGTAGTAGTAGTAGTAGTAAATGGTAGTAATAGTTAATTGTTAATAATAATAATAATAATAATAATAATGATGATAATAATAATGATAATAATAGGTAAGTGATTTTCTTTTTTTTTTTTTAATTTTTTTGTTCTTTTTTTTTTTTAGTAATAATAACAGTAGTAATAAGTAATCATAATAACGTCATTATCATTATTATCTTCACTATATTTTCGTTAATACGTTATGTTTTGCATGTATGTATGTATATATGTATTTATGTATATATATACGTGGCTTTCGTCCAGGTTTCTTCGAGCATGCGACCAGCGAACTTACGTATCTACGGCCCTGAAATGAAATTCTCTTTGATCCTAAAAGGATAAACGGATTTTGACTTTCCTTTTAACATTTTCTTCTTCTTCTTCTTATTCTTCTTATACTTATTTTATTTCGTGTCGATATTTTTTTTCACTATTCACGTTTCTTCCCTCTGCCCTTTCTCTATTTTTTTTTCCCCCCCTTATTTCTCTCAGATTTCAACGTGGTCGTGTCGTTGTGATTTAAACATTTTACAAATCACGATAACATTTTTCCCCCTTCTTCCCACCTTTCTCTTTCTCTCTCTCTCTCTCTCTCTCTGTTTCTCTCTTTCTTTATTTCTCGTTTTCATTATCCCTATCTATACGAAACTTTATTTATTATCCAAGACACACAAGAAGAGACACACGTGGTGACACGAATATGTCAATAGTACACGTTTACGTTGAGATGTTAATAAAAAAAAGAATAAATCTGCCAGGAAGACCTCGAAAAGAT